AGACTTTTAATTGCCTCTCCTTCCTCTCTGCACACAAAGGCATCTGCAATGTTTATCTTTAGCACACCTTARTGGGGAATAGATTAGTTTGTAAAAYAGAGCAGGATTGCAAAGAAAATTTCGGAATACATACAATGCCTTGACATAACTTTTTAAAAGTAGACTTTCTGTGCCATACTCCACTCTGTCTTAGCACATATTTATTATTTTGCAACACAGGTCACACTCAGAGCTTTGAAGAAGACACAGGTGACCTGTAACAACTTCCTCAATGAGATCATTACCTGCAAGACCCAGCACTMTACTCCTTTGCCTCTTTTTAGTTTCAAGTTACAATCTTTTCTCAAACACAGACCAAACATTTCTGGAACAAACTCACATCACTCYCAACATTGCCTTAATACTAATTAAATTACAGCATCTCATATAGACCTTTATCTGCAAAGACTATAAGCAAAGTCAGCATTTATCCTCACTGACAAACCAACTTCTGTTGTTTAATCTCCATAGTGTATCAGGAAGATGACATCCATCCATTCATTCATCCATCCATACATCCACCACTTTAACCTACAAGTCATTTTAGGATGAGTTTTTCCTAGGACRAAACTCATCTCAGATCAGGTGTCTGGTGTTTCTCTACAATATAATATTATCACCCCATCCAACTATAATTTTTGGGGCACTATCAAACAGTATGAAATCTGTTTATCTTTGCAAACGATTTTCCCAAGTGTGCCAGAACATGTCTGTACAATATCAAGATACAGAAAGTGTCTCTGACCCACCACATGTCAGAAAAGCAGCAYGTTTCTGGTCACATGTGTAGCAGCTTGGGGTAACTGAAAACATAGTAAGCAAGGAACTAGGAAACAGAGGCAACAAAAGCTGTTGYAGGAGGAACATGAGGATGGTGCTACAAATGATGGCTTATATGGAAGCCAGACTGTGGGGGCTACAGAAAAAACAGGGTACACAACCTAATGCAAGTTGTTAATGTCCAACCTGTTTAAATTATCTGCCACTTCTAATGGCAGATAATACTGAAATATTAGACAGCTTTCTAACAAGAACTCTCTACACTTACTAAAATGCTGAGAATATTTATACATACATTTTAATGTAAGTGTGAGTGTGTATATACAGATATATAAGATATGTGAAATACAGGAATACTCCTGTCAGGTGCCAMCTCTCCTAGGTTAAAGTAGTTCTTAACCTGAATTCATACAGCCAGCTTTTCACTACAGAAGAGCCCCATCCATCTAGATATCTAGAGCTCCTCACTTGCCATGCTACTTCAATTCATTAACCCAAAACAAGCTGTGGTGGAATATGGCTGCCTCACAGCCTGCTGCTCTTGTCTGTGTTCTGTATGCTGTTATAGATGGACCAGAATTCAGACCTCCCACTACCTTTAAACATCAAGGAGCTTCCATGTCTTAAAAACCTGGTGGCCTTACATGGACTAGTATAACGTAATAAGCAGCCTGATAAAACAGTAGGGTCTACAGAGGCAAGATATCTGAAAAAGGTTAGGCTCTGAAAGGTAATTCATCAGCAACTATCATTAAACGTTCTTCCTGTTCCCGTGCCTCACCTCCTACATTCAGGTCCCAAACACATGTGAGCAGGGGCTTGGAGAGAGCAGGTTTGGAAAGAAAGTTGGGATAATTTGTCATGCAGAGTATATCCATCGAGAAAGAAGTAACGTTTAAACATCACCATCGGGCTGCATGCAATGTGGAGTAAGTAACAGCAAAAGTGTGCCTCAAATCAGTTATATCTATCCCTTCCCCCAACACAMAGGTTGAGAATGCATAATCCTGTCAGTTTATGTCAAAACACCCAAGAGGACATGAATCCCTGGGAACCAGTCCAAGTCAGAGCATTCAATTGAGGCTGAAAAAGCAAAGCMTCCATTCCCAGATCTGTCCCTGATTTGGGGCAGATTACAACTGAGTGTCATTGTCAATCAGGAGGGATAAAGATATTAACATTCTCTGCAAGATGCTTTGTGATCAGTTCATTGGAAGCACTTGATTAKATATCCTATATAAACATATTTATGTGTCATTTTTAAACACTTTTAAAAATAAAACCAGCATGGCATAAAACCAAATCTTGTTTTCAGTTAAATTGCTTCTGTATAAGTAGTTTCCATCTGACATTCCCAAAGAAAACATTCTCACATGCACACCATGAATGTGTATGGCAGAGTGCCACGGGAGGGCTCAATGGAATACTTCATTAAAAAACAAACAAACAAAAAAGCAAGAGTACATTCCAAATTGAGCAAGCAACACTTAATGCAAATCATTCAAACCACTAAGAGGAGCTGTAAAATTYGCAACTTGACTGAAGGATTAAGACTACATTTGACCAGCAACTTGGTGTACTATACAGCAAATACCAACTTACAAGCTAGYGGGATTCAGTGGAATTTGGACATCCATATTTTTGGTCACAGGTATTTGAACTTGAACAACCTGAATCTAAAGCAAGAACACTTTAGGCTTCAGAGAAAAAACATTAAAGGGAACAGGATTTTAAATAAATATCCTTCTCATGGAGTCATAGATCATGTTATATGTCACTAAGACACAGAATTCCCTGAGTCTCAAGAACAGGAAGAGGTTACACTTTTCTAACAAGTCCAGAGACGCCAGAATACATCAGATTTTATAACTGTGTCCACAGGGTCAGCTGTTCCTGACAGGACAAAACAACCCTTACTGCACCAGGTTCTACAGCAGCTACACTGCTTCCAGCTGCACCTGAGCTCCTGCATTTAAAGATAACCTGGCTGCAATCAAGTATCACATTCCTTGTAACTGACAGCATGAACTGAGTTTTCTTTTTCACAGCTTGCTTCATAGGACTTTACAGCAGTGAGCCATGACCATTCTAACCAGTTTGTTTCAATTATCTCACATCATTTTGCCGTGGACAAGGTTAACAAGGATGCTCCTCCTTTTCCACAGATGGTGGTCTTTACTAAAAAGCAGGCTCCTCTTTTGACCCATGCTCCCCTGGAGTGGAGTATCCATTCCACTCATGCTAGCAACAATATATGAGGAAAGACCAGCAGTTAACAAAAAGCACTTYACGTTCATCAGTTACAGCAATTATTCTCACTTACTATGAGGCAGTGAGCAGCACAAATATCTAGCAGAATTTCTGTTATTGAACAGYTGTATAACCATGTAAGAATTACTGCTACTTTTTTGTTTTAAACACCTGACAGTGTATGATTCCACCCTGAATACTATCTTTAAAAAAAAAAAAAATCACTTCATCAGTCTCTCATAATGATATTCAATTTAAGKGCTCTTTCTGTAAGCTTGCAGAATATGAAGAGGATTTTGTGTCAGTAATTGACAGACATGCCCGATCAGAACAGGTATCCAGGTTGTATCAACCTCCTAATAATCATGTAACAACAAGAAGAGAATATTACAAATAATACTTTGATCTAATTATGAATACACACAGGGAGATTTGAAAGCCTTTAGGAAAGAAATAGGATAGTTTTTACTATATTCAACTAAATCAATGATATGAAGGGGTTTCAAAGAAATGTAAGTTACAAATCTGTCATGGAGTATGAAGTAAATAATCTTCTAGAAGTGTTCCCATATATCCCATATCAATGGAAAACCTCAAGCTGATTATGGGAGCTCTGACTAAAGCAAGAGAATCTATGCATATRATGCTCAAAAAATAACACCTGTGAAGATTTAACTTCAAAATGCTCTGTGACCAGTCTATTAKGTATCATAATTTTAAACATTTTTCCAAGTAAGTGTTAAAAATTATTCAGCCTCTTACTTTGTTTTATAGTCTCTACCTTACACTCCTGTGGTATTGACTTAGGCTGGCCAGTAGTTTAAGCTCACACAAGACAAAAGAACACTCAGCAGGATCCAGTACACAATCTCGATACACAAGCGCTGGTAAGGCAGAGAGAAGCCATCCCATGAACTTCACAGGCCCTGAAGCGAGGTGTGAGAGAAACAAGCTCCCATTGCCATCAGTGGAATCAAGATCAAAATCACCTCCAGAGCAAGACCAACAGGACTTTTTTCAAATGACTTTTTTTAACATAATCTCTGTCTACAGGTACCCATTCTCCTGTGAAGTGGATGAATCCTATTCCAAAAGCAACRTTTTCCCATTTGTGACATTCAAATTAAGCGTACTTAAAAATATTACCAGCTTTACATYATGTTGCAAATAATGGGTGTGCTACAACCAAAATGCAAAGGTTTYACACTGTTATTTTCAATGCTGCTGCTAAATAAGATACCCAAGTTTGTACTAAAATTTACTCATTTTCTGTAGTAGTTACTGCAGTACATCCATAGCACAGAATAAAAGAACCTCCAAATTGTTCTACTCCATAAGATCTTGTGAAACTACTTTTGAAACCACTAAAAAATGGAAGTGTTCTACTAGCCCCAATTCTAGTAACATCTTATTTTTGTAAATACAAAACACTGATCTACTTTWCACACAACTCCCACAAGCTAGAGCTATGAATGACTAAATAGCTCCCTGCTCTGCAAGTTTGAACCTCTCCATGTTTTATCAACAGCCAACATGCAAGATGCTGGGTTTTACAGATAGATATTGAACCAAACTTCATCTGAAACAAGCTGAGATAGACAACTATCAAAGACTATTCTGGGGCATCAAATTACTGACAGATTTATAAGTAAAGGGGCAAAGAACAAAAAACCCATACCGAGTTTAAAAAAGGCAGAGAACACCCAAGAAATGGCCATGGTGCGTGACCCTTCCCCAGCTATGACAGACACTGACAAAGCAACTGGTGCACAAATTAAACCAAAGGCTAGTCTGTCCTTCACCCAAAAGAGAAAAAATATTTACATGAATATTTAAAAACACACATATACATTAAAGCTAAAARAGCACTCTGATTTTAGGAAAACTTGTCTATTCATCCGTTAAAAAAAACACCAACACACACACAAACATATCAACATGAAAGCATTTATTAATACTTCTTTGSTCACTCCTGAGGAGGAAATTAAAAAAAATAAATGCATTACAAAAAAGTAACTGTTTCATCTACTTCTTGTKTAAAACCCCAAGAGTCTAAGATCAACTCAAAGTTAATGCAATGGCCACAAGCTACACCCTTTCACTCACATCTCTCCTAACAAGCAAAATCATGTAAGGAGGAATAGATATTGGTCTTCCATACAAGACTCATCTGTATGATGAATTAACCGTCGACATTTGATCCTTTGGCAAACAATCTTCTGAATGTTCTTGTTACAGAATTACTAATACTTGCTCCAGTTTAGCTTAATCCACTTGATTGATTTGGAATGGGACACACTTGTACCACCCCAAGACCTAGACAGGGTGGATCCTCAATTATGAAATAGCAATCCAAGATCCAGTCACCTGGGTTTAGACTACAGCTTGCTTCATTGTTTGAGTGGACAATTCTTTAGGTATTTGAAGATGCCTAGTCTTCCTGGTCTAAAGAATTCCTAGACCGGGAAACAGATCTCTTGCATTCACCAAGAGCCAAAAACCTGCCAAACCTCTGCCTAAACTCTCCAAGTCAATCTGACATACACACAGAGTACATCACTACATGCAGAACTTAGGGTTCTTTATAAAACTCAAGCACTTCTCTGAGGACGGTTCACAGGAAAGCAACCAGGACAGAAAACAACAGCACTGCATCCTGTGCGGGCCTGGCAGCACACTTACCCAGCAGACAGGAGGCTTGAGATTCTACAGCCTCCTGCTGGAAAAGAAAGAAATAAAAGACAGAAAGAGAAAGTGAAATACAGGTTGCCTCTTTTACTGACTGTCGCTGGGCTTAAAGAAAGGGGGAGAAAGTCCAGATTTCACATGAACATCAGATGATTTTTAAATTTGATTGATTRCGTAGCAAGAACTGTAGGCAGTAGCTCAGTACAAGTACACTCAGAGAAGACAGAAATTAGGAGAAACTCCACCTGTCTATCGTTCCCACTAATGCTCCAGTGTCTTCCCAAACCAGGACTTCACATCCATAACTTCTCTTTATTCCCTACTCCTAAAATTAGGGCAATGTCCAACCCACTCATCTCCCTATCTTTAAGGTGATTAGCAAAAACTGCATGTGTGGAGATAACTGAACYGCAAAAGAGACAGTAACACGGTGTGAATGGCTGCTGGTATAAGCAAATTAGTCAGTGGTTCCTATAACAAATTCCACACAGGAAAATTAWTTCAACATACCACTCACAAGCAGTTTCTTTGGTAACTGCCAAACTCTATCATGTAGAATAAACTTCAGTTTACTTGCAAGGAGTCAACAGTCAAGTGTTTTGAAACAACTGTTGATCACTGTAGTTTTAAGTGCTGGTTACATATTCAAGAAGCACTTCTACAAAAGCAGGGAATCATCAGATCTCTTCTAGTCACATTTTGCTACTTGGAAACCAGGTAGAAGTGCCTTTACATAAATTCAGGACTTCAGACCAATGCTCTAAATGCATTTCACTAAATTTCTGAATCTAGCACAGGTTTCAAAAACTATGTCTCCTCACACAGGAAATAAGATACAAGACATCCAACATGGCACTTTAGATTAGGAACCCAATTTTCGTCATTAGGGCTCCTACACTGTGAGCAGTCAAGTAAAGCATCAGGTTGAACTCAGAGTCATACAAGTTCAATATAAAAATTAAGTTGGGAGTAAGTATGATACTTTAAACTTATGACCTGTCTTATTTCAGGTAAACTTTCTGTTGAAGGCCAGCCCTGCAGAGCTGCCAGCATCTGCAAATTATCATTCATCTTCAGCAATACTGTGAACCAACTTAGTTTGCATGTCTTCTAAACAAATTAAAGTTGTTTAACAACAATTCATGTCAAGATTTATACCATATGAAAAAGCAGTAAAAAAGGTTTACCATTTCAATGAAAGGGTTCATTTGGGCCAATACAGAATATAATGGTAAGCACTGTTTTTGGGTAGCAACTCTCTACATGCACAATGACTGCCACACTTGGAAGTTATTCCAAAAAATAGGCAAGGCCTAGAAGTATATTATTTCTCTCCATTTTTAAATGAGAATTTAAATGAAAATTTTGGACTGGGATCACTAAATGGAATTTTAGCAACATGTCAACTTGTTCTTTGAATGTTAAAAGGCCCCAGTGTGTGTAAATACTAGCCAACAGTTACATTTTCCCGTTAGTTTCGTAAAATAAAAAAATTCAAGCATCTCCAGTATTTTAGTTTTGACACTATAATAGCTACAGTTAGACACAATAATGGCGGTGAAGTAGACTTATTTAGTCTTGTAAGACTTCTCTAAAAAATTGTTTAGTTTTATCAGCCTCGGTAGGACAAGAGGCATTATTTATTATTCTAAGGCAAGCAAAAATGTAATTACTGTGTGAGATCAATGCTAGAAATTAACTGTACTGTTCTCTATAAATGACTTTTCTGTGATGCAAATTCTTTTTCAGACAATTTYGAGTTCCATTGCAGATAACAAGAAGCAGCAGTTTACATTTGCAACTCCAAGTGTTTGCTCTTTAGTTAATACTTCTCCTGACTATTCCTATTTTGATGTAAATCAGTCACAACAACCAGTCTAAGGGAAGACAGAATGTCATACAACATCCAGTCAAGTACATCACCTTTTTGCTGCTAAAAATAGCAGTATTTTTGTGTTTTACTTCAACATAAACAAGATGGTTCTGAGTGCTCCAGTACTACAACAGCAGTACCCCCGAGATGATGCAATTTTATCACCTCAGCATTATCCACTGGGAATTCCCCAGAAGGAAGCCACTGGAAGTACCATACAAGTAAACTGTGATTAGCTCAGTCACATTAATCCCTGATCTCGCATGGCACTTCCTATTATTSGTGAAGAGCTATTACTGGAACTATTCACATCTCCATACCCTCTATACTTGCAACTGAGAGACACACCATTATCAGGTAATGRGATTACAACTGCATTTCTTTCAATTTAGTTAACTGGTACTGAATGAGGACACAAGCTCAAAACGTTTCTACTGTAACATGCAAATGAGTGGGACAAAATGCATGTGTACTTACACACACAAACTGAGAGGTTCAGAGAAATAAAAAMCAGCACTGAATTGAAATTTATGCCATTGCTGATCTCTAAACTAAGTTCTATTTTAATGTTCTCTGTAAGAATGTCTGATAGCTTCAAGTCACTTACCATTTTTTTCTTTCATCTTTTATTTGTACTTATTTCTCACCATTCTAGGATGTTCACTATGCTCTACAATCTAATTACAATTATTTAGTAGATCAGTATAGAACTAAAAGGCACTAAAAAGGCTTCCAGAAATTCTATTACTGCTGTTTAGCAAACATTATCTTCTTTGGTCTTGTATCTACCTCTGTATTTTTAACTGGACCCGAGTGTTTTTTTCTGGATTTCTCGTCACTACTGACACATTGTTTCTTACCCCCAAATGAATTTTCGGCCCAAGCGTTCATGGTGTAGCTTCACCTGTGCATTTTCACCAAAGCTGTCTTTCACTGCAGMACATCTCCTTTCTAAACAAGGCTTTGGAGAATAGCTTAAGATGCATGAACCACATACAGTCTTAAATTTTAAGCCTCCATGTYCTGCATTAATCCTAACTTCTCACCTTATCCCTCTAGTATTCAAACTAAGCAATGACTGTAACAGGGGCTGTCTTTGTGCATGCATCAGAGAGAACTCCAAGCTCCTAGAGGAAGTAAAGTAGCTCGTTTCTACTTGGTCCCAACAGTAAGGCCTTAGTATTTGTAAAGTGAAAAGAAGCAGTATCTGATTGACTTGCATSCACTGGTTTTCAAACAGCAATTTACCAGTAGCTATCTCAAGCCAACCAATAAAAGAACTGTAGTTCATTTTTATAAGTCTTGATGCATCATGTCAAAACTGACYATCTCACATCTCCCTCAACTACCTATTTGCAAAGCTTTGGAGTTCAATTAAGTGGATTGTTTCAAAGCAAAACCAGAACTTTATTTCATCTATTTTCTAGTGCATTTAAAAATAATAGAACATACAGAAAGATTAGAAGAAAATCCCTCTCTGCTTTGTAATGTTGCTSTAAGGTCCCGTGGCTGACCACATTTCTCACCTAGTGAAATTTAAGCACTGTAGAGTCCAAACATTTGCCTGTTTCACGTTACATTGGTTTTCAGATCCGGTGAATGCTTTAAGCTTCCCACTTCCTTCTTCAGGACATTAAGTAAAGTTCTAGAGCTATCCAAAATCTTCATGTAAGCAGCTTCAGTTTCAGCAAGAATTTTATCAAGTTCATTYCGAGAAGCCACCTTTTGGGCCAGGTTTTCACATACACACTCCAGCTGTTCGCTGAGGACTTGGATTTCATGTTGGAGYTTATTCTTTTCCTCTTCTGCTTGTTGGATTTGTTTGTTCAGTTCTTCTTTTTGCATACATAAATCTTCAATGCATTTCACTAGTTCATTATTGTAACCCTGAAGAACAGCTCCCTGCTGAGTCATCTTGCTCTCCCTTCCTGAAGTCACCTTTTTGCAACGGCCTTCTGCACTCTAATTAAAGGAAAACAAAGAAACAGAAAAAAAGTCTGTAAGAGTGTTACCAGAATAATACTTCACTAGCACAGATGGAGCCACGGGGCAAGATTCTCTGTTTAAGGTTAACATGCCCACTCCAAGATATGCTATATCTCCTCCCTTTTCAGAAAGGGGACAGGACAAAATTTGGTATCTGCCCTTAAACCTTTACTGAAAACTGCTGGCTCCTATGATACCGTCATAGCAATGGTATCAAAGTTTTTCTTTTTGGTACGTTTTACAATACCTTTTTACAATCCTGAATATAGGATGCTTTGTACCTCAAACTTCGAGGGCCTGGTCAGAAATAAGCAAGAATTACAGAATCACAGAATTATTAGGGTTGGAAGGGACCTCTGGAGATCATCCAGTCCAACCCCCWGGCAAGGCAGGGTCACCTTGAGCAGGTGACATAGGAACGCATGCAAGTGGGTTTTGAATGCCTCCACAAAGGGAGACTCCACGCCCTTCCCGGGCAGCCTATTCCAGTGCTCTYCCACCCCCCCCACGCCAAGTTCTTCCTCACGCTGAAGTGAAAGTCCTTGTTTTTGAGGCCATCGCTCCTCGTCCTGTCACCGGGCACTACCCTGAGGGGTTCAGCAGGCACTCACAACAGCGGGGAACCCTCCCAACACACCGAGCGCCCGGAGCTCCTCCAACACCGGGTGCACCGAGACCAGGACAAACCTCTCGCCCGCCGCTCACACCCCCGGGGACACAGCGAGGCCCGACCCGAGGCCACCGCCCSAGGGACATTTTAACACCCTCCTCGCCGCCCAGCGCGGCCCCGCGGAACACGCGCCGCGCACAAAATGGCTCCTGCCTGTACATCGAGTGCCCGGGCGGAAGGGGAGGAGGGGGTAGGTAAGAGGAAACCTTCCCATTCCTATGGTTCCCCCCGCAATTCCCCCTGTTGCTCCCACCTGCCTGGCAGGATCGCGATTCCTCCCCACCGAGGGAGCGGCTCTGCCCCCGAGGCCGCGCTGCCCTCGGCCAACCGGGCCCGTGCGCCCGCCAACGGCCACGCCGGCCCGTCAGGAGTCACGGAAACACCCGAGCGCTTCCGAACGCGGCGCCGCCCTGACGGCCGCGCGGAAACGTCCCTCCGGAAAAACGCGATGTTTTCCGAAGACAGGTAGCGCTCGAGAGAGTGGGCCGAGGCGGGAGGGGCAGGGAGGGCCTAGCTTTACGGAAGGAGCCGATGTTTGCCGAAGGGAGGGACTGAAGGGCGTCGTGCTCGGCGGAGGCAGCCGATGTTTGCCGAAGGGAGGGACTGAGGGGCGTCGGGCTCGGCGGAGGCAGCCGATGTTTACCGAAGGCCGAGTCGCCCGAGAGCAAAGGGGACAGAGGGGACGGAGCGCGTCGGAAAGAGCCGGAAAGAGCCGACGTTGACCGAGCGCGGCGTCGCCCGAGTTCCCCGGATGTAGTTGGAGCGGCGGCGGCGGGCGCGGCGGGGGGAGGCGGTGGCCGAGTCGGTGCTCCCGGTGTGTCTCAGCGCGCGCGGGGCCGAGCTGCCGGCGTCTCCCCTCTCGAGGCGATGGGCCCGTGAGCGCCGCTCCAGCCGAGCTGCCCGAGCCGCCCCCTTCCCCCGCCCCTGCCCCCGGAGCGCTGCCGCCCCCGCTTCCCCCCTCGGCGCCTGTGGCCTGGCCGCGGCCGTGCCCTCCTGGTCCCCTCACCCTCACACACACAGGCCGGGCATTGATGGTAATGTATGCGAGGAAACAGCAGAGACTCAGTGATGGGTAAATCCACCCCCCGGCCCCGCGGGGCCGCCCCCCCCCCCCTTCCGCCATGTTCGGCCCGGCCGCGGGGCCGGTAACGGGCGCTCGCTAACGCCTCTCTCTCTTTCTCTCGCTCTCTCCTCAGCTGTCACGACCGYAGGGGGGACTCGCAGCCCTACCAGGTACCGCCGAGCCGGGAGGAGGAGTAGGGGAGGCGGGAGGGAGCTACTCCAGCGGAGGCTTCGGCGGCCGCCGCAGGCCGCGGTGCCGCGGCCTCCCCGGTCCGGCCCCTGGTGGCCCTGTGGGCCCGGGGCCGCGGGGCGGGGAGGCGGCGGCGGCCCAGGCGCAGGGAACGGGGCCCCGGTGTACCGCCGAGGCCTCCGGAGCCGGGGCGAGCAGGAGCGGCCTAGTGCGACCCGTGCGGGGCTCGGGCCTGGGAGTCGGGAAGGGTTCCAGGGGCGGGAGAGGGAGTCGGGGTCACCTGCAGTGGAGTGGAGACCCAGGGGGAGGTGAATGTTTTTTTTCTAGTAACAAAAGGAGTCTTGTTCTTCCACACCCCCCCACCCCCTCCCCAAAGCCCTTTCTTCTCCCCAAAACTGCTGTTGTGGGCTGTAACCTGAGCAGTGTACGGGTTTAGACCCTGAACAAGTTGGGGTTGCGAGTGAGGCTTAATTTCTGCAGTTGCCAGCTGCTAGGCATGTTCAGAAATCATCAGATCCCTGAGCTACCGACAATAGCCTCAATTTCTGTAAGGTGGATACTGCACTTACTTGCTGTGTCTACTGGGGAAACCCAGTTGTCGAGGTTTGAGCCTGTGGAAAGCCGAATGTTGTGATACTGCTCTCCCTCGGCCCTGAATTGAACTGTTTTACTGCGTTTTTGTGTATTTGAATCACTGAAGTGCAGTACGGCAGTCCAAGGCAGCTGTCAGTGACAGTTCATGTAAACACTTGCCATTCAGGAGTTCACATGGCAAAACCAAGCAGGTCAAAGTGAGGCAGTATATGTAATTTTTGATGAAGACTTCAAAAGGAATTGTTGCATTACATGCTTTGGCCCCCTAAAATTACTTTTTTTTTTTTTTAATTGTATCTGTTACAGGAACATTAGTACTGAAAAAAAAATTACAGAAGTTCAAGGTAATGGTGGAAACGAATGGTCTTGACTAGAATATCAGGACATATTCAAAGGTTACACTGATGAGTGTAACTTCTAGTTTGTATTCCTAATACCAAGTGGAGACTTGTTCTTCTCTCAAAAGTGTGGAAGAGCAGTGGCCCATTTACTGCTGGAAGTGTGTAGTCCATCAGTGAAAAGATAGAGAAACTAGGTTCTTACCAGCCAGAGTTACACTGGATGTAGTAGTGGGTGACAGCAGTTTGTGTTCTAATTACAGAACTTGTTGCTTTAATGTAGGTAATTAAAACTAGAAAGACTAATTCTGGTGGGTTTTTTTTTAAATAGGAAATGAAAATTAATTAACTTGTAAAAGTACTTTCAAAAGAGAGGAAACAATTTCAAAACTTCGTATCTAATGTGAATGCCTATTTTCTTGTGATCTGTTACAGGCTCTTAAATACTCATCCAAGAGTCACCCCAGTGGCGGTGATCACCGTCATGACAAGATGCGAGACACCACAGAYCCTTCACCACCAAATAAAATGCTGCGGCGCTCTGACAGCCCTGAAAACAAATACGGTGACAGCACAGGGCACAGTAAAGCAAAAAGTGTGCATACTCACAGAGTTAGAGAGAGGGATGGTGGTAAGTTATCTTTAACAACCCTTTTTTTAAGTAATTGCTTATTTCTCATTAAAATTAACCATTTTCACTCAAGTGATGTCCTACACTAAATGTGCCTTGTGCTCTGTAAGGGAGACTGCAGTGAACACAAAATGTGAGTTTAATTGGAAGCAATCACTTAAGCATTGTAACACCTACTAATTTTTTGATTTTTGCAGGTATGGTAGTTTTCATTATAGCCCCAAAGATTAAATAAACCTTTTATAAGTAATACATCTCATTTGTTTTAGATATACTGCAACATTTGATGACATGGAATAGTTTTCAGGATTTTTCATTAACAATAAATACTGGCTGKTTTGGATCCTGTTAATAACTTTGTGTATTGTGGTGCTTTATAGTGTAGGTACATGCTCCATAGACTAAACCCCATCAGAAATGAAAAAAGCTGCTTTGTATTTAGCTGCTGTATAGAACTCCAATTAATCAGGAAATGGTAATCAAAGGTAGAACCTTTCTTGACAGGAGCTTGAAGAAGTGTGTTCACAGTGAAGTCAGACYTCTGTGTTTTTACAGGTTTTTAGACAACAGTAATTTCCCCAGTATTTTTTGGCTGATTTTATTTTGTATCCCTGCTTCCTAGAAAAAGAGTATGTTTTCCAGGTAATAAACATACTTAAGCTAACAAACAAGCTAGAGTTCAGAAAATTGCAGTTACTGTCTGAATTTGGAAATGTGTTTTTTGTTTTGTTATTTGGTTTTTGTGTCAAGCTACAAAGTGAAGTATTCAAGTAGAGAATTTGAAGCTTTAAATCAGTGCTTCTTTATTCTGTATAAARCTAACAAATGCTGATGTTCACATACATTTATTGCTGCACTAATTTTACTTGATATAATAGTTATAGTAAAACAAAGGAAATACCTTTCAAGTACCTTTTTAGGAAATAAGAGTTCCATACCACRGATGAGTTCATGGTGCTCAATTGTTCTTTTAAATCCTACTGTTTTTCCTTCTTGGACTTAATGCAGAGGCTCTGTAGACCACTGATAATGTCATAGAAGTGTGTAGATGGATTATRAAAACATGCCTCCTTTGTTAATACACTGATTTTCGTTGTATCTGATCATAATTGAAAGTGTAGTTATCTTGGAATTAAATGCATGTGCWATGCCCTTGTGCTACTTTTCGTGATACAGAGGTTCCTCTTCTATTTCCTGTTCACCTGTCCAAAGATATTAGTCTTGCATACTCTTGCAATTTTACTTAGTTTTGCYACAGTCAGTAATTTTTTCTGCTTCAATAGAGCTGCGTTTAGTGGAATTATGCGTATATGAAAACATCTGGAGGATGAGGCTCTATGTGGGGAATGCATTTGCTTATTTGTGTGTTGGAAGTGTTGTAAGATAGGAARGACATTCTGAAGTTCTTACAGAGTCCAGCTGGATTTAATAGTTGGTGAATGGTCTRAAGCATGTATGCATACAGTAAGGATGAAGGAAGATGAATTATTTGTAGTTTTGTAAATGGAAGGAGCACCATCCCACTGTACCTTCTCCTGGTTGTTAAGACAATAGAAAGTTTCATTTATTTCAATCTGAAAGCAGGCATTTGCACATARTCTGTTAACAGACTGGAAAAAAGAAGTAGTCTTCAACAGTGTAAGGGAAATTACTAATTTTAAAAGTTGAACATATTTACTGTTTAAAGTAAGTAAGTGAATTTYCTTTTTTKTGTGTGTGTGTCATTAGTAAGGTTAGTTTGGCCACAGTTTCACCTTTGTAAAATACATTCAGAACAACCAAGTTAAATCCTGTGTGCTGTACACAGTAAACCAAAGGTGAGCGGATGTGGGCAGAAGGATATCAGTTTGATGTACTGAATATTTCTGTCAGTATCAATTGAAGGTAGGTGTTAGGATACAGGTGAAAYGCTCTAGTATCGATGGATATTTGTATATTGCTAATATGCAAAAGACATAATAAAATAATTTACCATGTTCTCTGTCTATTGAATTAGCCTGAAGTGCTGCTATTGCTACAGTATTCCTTTAGTTTTGCAATTACAGACATACAGTGGAAAAAAGAAAAACATTACAAAAGTGCTAACATTTTTCATGTAAGCCGYAATATGACTGAAGAGTATTAATCAGTTGATACTACTGTAATTGTCTGTCTTGTTTTTTTTTCCTTTTACATTCTTCAGAGAGGAGGAAAGAAGTTGGATGGTTTTWATTTTTTGTAATTGCTGTGTGTTATTTTAAAATTGGTGCTGCTTGATTTGAAACTACTGCAGGTGTTACTGCCTTCCTATGATCTAGCTGAACTTAAAAAAGCAAATCTCACTGAAACATCTCTTATTTTCCAAAACTAAATTAAAGTCCCAAACAAACAATCTCATACCTCAGAAAACAAAATGGGACATAAATCTGGTTCATTACTAGTGAACATAAAGCTGATTTAATCTGATCTCTCCCTCTCAACTCAATGTTTAGAAGGAACTCTTCTATGTCTCTTAGTCATTTTAAATCTGAAGTGAAACAGGAAGATTCAGTGGTGTAGTGAGCTGATTTAGTCATGACTGGTTCATATTTTTGTGGTAAAATGTCRTTTAAATGTCATTTCAAGATTTAAGTGTACACATTTAAAATATAAGAGTGGTAATTGAAAATTAATAACTCAAAAATGGTAGAACCACCTCCTATTACGTGTATAAAGGGTTTTTTTTGTAACAGCTTATTTTTGTAATATTCATGGCAGAATCTTTTGTAGAGCTGTACTCCATGGTAAGAAATTCAATTAACGTTTTAAACGTGTAACAGGCAAGCCCTCCATACTGACACAGTGCAAACAAAGCATTTTTCAAAGTTGCTTACTGTGTGGTTTCTGTGGAAAGAGACTGTGTACAGAGACAGTCGTTTTCTGGAGTGAGACTTCCAAGTTTACCTTGGACTAACTGTGGTGGAGTTATTGCAAGTTTTTGTCACATCCCTGGTTTCCTAAGAGTACTTGTACATCCAGCATATGAAAAAACTGCCTTAACTTGGTTCTTGCTTTCATATCTCTGTGCATGAGGCATTGTCTCTGTATGCAAGTGTTTAAAACATAATGAACAGCTCCCCCGCTCAGTGCATCTCTTATTTATAGGTCAGCTGCTAYAGGCAAGTGTGGGGTTTGAAGAGATTAGGGGGTCTTACAAGACCAACTCAAGTGTGAAGTTTCTTAACAGTAACAAATAGGGAGTTTAAGCCAGCATTGTTTGTGGGGAATAGAACTATGGAGGGCCTTGTAGATGTGGAAAAATATTTCCATTAAAGAAAAAGGAAAATACAAAGATTTGAGGGCTCTCATGCTTGAGGATGGAAGGCTGTTGTAGGTCTTTTTAAATGCATGAATGATGTGATACTGGTATACAGGAACAAAAATAATGAGGCCAGATAAGTAGGATAGCTTGGGGAATAATGAAAGGGAGATATATAGATATATATAATTTAAGAGTAAAAATGTGAGGTTCAACCCTTGGTAAAAAAGGGGCAAAGGGAGTTTCTACGTAACTGTATAGAGCAGAATAACCCACTAAGATAAACGGTAGAAYTTCATGCAAAAAAAGGTTAGTTCAGTTAAGCCACTTGTGCTCAATTGTTTCTTTTTGTGAAGAAAATACTGCGTGTTCTGCTACATTTATATTGAAGAGATTGAAAATTTGTTCACTTTATGCCATGAGCTTACTGAATTGCCTAAAATAACAACTGGAGAGTGTAAATGTACATAGCATGAAATCTTTTGCTGAATTGTGTGCTATTGTGCMGTGTAGGCTATTGTAATGAAATTTGATTATAACTTGTGATATTTAAATTACAAAGAATTGAAGCTTTGTCACTGTTTCTTTTGTACATGGGGTTTTTTTTTAATTGGCAATTAAGAACAGTTGTCAGTGACCACTGTTACTATTACAGTTCTAAGATTAAAAATCCTACTGCTATTAGAATCTGAGTGAAATATTTTAAATAATGAGTTCCTCTTTTTATCAAAGGGATGGTAGGCGCTTTTRTCATTCTGTGTTGTTTTGCTTTGTTTCCACTGGTTCCTGAAGGAGTCCAGAGTCCTCACAGCAGAAGGACAGCTAACAGCCCTAAACAGAGCACTGTGTTAGGTTCCTGCATTAGCAGCCCTGACAGTAGAGGGGAACTGCTGATTAAATTAGTGTGAGCATTGACCACTGAAATAAATAGTGAACAAGGATGTTAGGGCGGCTGCAAGAGAATTGAAGATGCTCCGGCAGTGGGCCTTGTAAAGAGGAAATTGCAGCATTGATGGAAAGAGGCAAATCTGAGAGTAATGGAACATAGTGAAGGGTTCAGGAAGAAGCTGGAGTAGATTCTTTCTACGTAGTTAGTATTAACTGCTGTTAAAGTTACTATTCATTGCTATGAAAACCATTTCCTTGCTGTGACTTTATGGTCAAAGCTGGAATGAGAGAAGTCTGATCACAAAGGAGAATGAGCTCTTCATGAAACATGCTTTGAATACCCTCCCCAACAGCCAACTGTAGATTTGGTGATTCACTTTGCTATTTCTTGAATGTTGGCTGTTTGGGTGGCTTTAAAGAAAGTGGCGATCGGTGGCTGGTTTGTTTTTTAAGATGAATAGAATTGCTTCCAGGACCATTCACCTTTTATAAGGTTTTCTCTGAATAAAAACAAATAAATTGGGAAAAATAAGTTTCTGGTTTTGATATTATAARCRCTTTCTTTTAAGTGTTACTAGTATTACTGCCTTCAGGTAGGGTTTTAATTTTAAGTGTACTTTCAAGTTTAGAACTTTCAGAGAGAAAATAGCTTTCCATTTGCTTGGTGGATTTGGCAGTATTTCTGAGGTGAGCTTTTGCTGGATCAGTTGTGTAATCATTTTTTTGTGTTACTCTGTTGGGAGGATCTCTAGTAGAAAAGAAGTTGAAAAGTGTGTGCTCCTAGAATCACAGTAACAGATATGACTTGTGTTTGTAGTTTTTCAATCTRGAAGTT